ATAATCCAATACACCATCGAATTTAATAAAAGACGCAAATGTCCGTTCCGCGTTGTAAAGAGTAAAAGAAGACGTTAGAATGACCAGTGCACACAACATATTTGTCAATTTGTTGTACAATTTGCGTTCTCGCACACGTTCGATTCACCGACACGATTTTCACCACACCCTTGCTTTGTTTTCGAACTCACAAAATCGTCTCAACGATGCTCGACGTCTAAACAATTTGCTTTAAATTATGCAGTAATAGAGATGGCCATAAGCTTTTGCAGGAAGGTTACTCCTGTGACAGTTCCAGTGAAGCTAAAGAACGAAGAAATTGTTGCAAGATACATGAAGTGCGCCAACGCTGTCGCCAGTTTGAAGGCAAATATATTTAGAATTGTTACTGAGCAATACGGTCCGCTTCTATCACACGCCGCAGAATTAATGAATTGAAATTACAATGCTCAGCTTGATATCGTGACCAATTAATTTAAGCAATTCATATAATTATTAAGAGGTAATAAAGCATGTGAAAAATGCCCCCAAGCAAAGAATATTATTGGTAGGTGCTTTCTTGAAGACTTCGGCCGGTGGTATTTAGCTTGCTGTGTGATTTCGAAATAAAATTAAGAAATTTAAAATATAGAGTTATATTTGTATCGAGAAAAATTATTGATGTCTAAAGCTTGTTTTAAAAAACATACTATCCATTATAATATCATCTCCACCATTTGTGATTTCAGATAAGGACAAGGGACTTATGAAATCTATGCGGACGACGGCACCAGACATTCCATCTGGACGAATTTTTTGTCGACATCTTCCACGTTACCGATTCAGTTTGGCACCACGCCGACCTCCTTTCTTGTAGCTTTTACTCTCCAGTCCCCTCTATATCCCCAACGTTCACGGCTACCGAGGGAATGTCCTTCCTGGTTGTTGAAACATCCGGATAGTTGTGTCTATTCTCGGCCATACGCTTGATCCCTTGCAGGCGCGAATTTGGTGTGGCATGGGGGACAACCCGAAGGCTCGCTTGGACGAACATGATCGGGATGTCGCCATCTTTCTTCAGTCCATGTTCCACAAGCTAAAGACCTCTGACGCCGCCGAGGAACGTACCCTGACGCTAGCGTACCACAATGCGATCGACATCCATTTAGCTCTTCCATCGTCCGACTCTACGGCCTACCTGGAATCTGCAAAGACCGCCTTGATGGCGCAAAAGTTCTACATTTCCTTTCGCTGTGAAGCGGCAAAGTTTGACCGAGAAATTAGCACTGGAGAATTTCGCTCGGCTTATTTTATTAGACCTTCCACTACGGTGGACCGGCAGGTATATATACCGTGCGCCACTTGAGGGGACGGCACTACTACGTCCGACCCGGATAATAAAGCTGCCATCCACCGCCGCTACTGAGACGCTCTCTACCGTAGCCCCTCCAGAGATATTGTTTCGACTCTCTCGCCCGCGTCTTTCCAGCCGTTGGAGCTCATCAACCTACTACAGCATACTTCGGCCTCCATTTCCGCCGACACCCGCAGTCGGCTTGATGCTCCTGTGACGACACACGAGTTCTACTGGTCTACCAAGACGTCACCTACCAGCCGGTACAGCGGCCTTGATAGCTTGCCGGTCGAATACTACAAACTCGCTCCCCACAAATGGGCCCAACTTTTTGAGCTTGTGTACGCAATCCAACAAAAACATAGCCGCATGACCAAGTACCAAAGACGGGCTTATATAAACCTTCTCTACAAAAAAGGGGATCACTGCGATTCCAGTAATTATCGACCAATTACGCTGCTTAACCAAGACGCCGAAATCTGGCCAAAAATCTTAGCGCATCGTTTACTTGTCGTCTTAAGCCATCTCCTCCACGTAGATTAGACATGGTTTGTGTCTGGCCGTTCCATTCGTCATACTTTCTGCGGTTACAAGATCTCCAACAACTTTAATCCATTCGAGGCGATACGCGTGCGGGCGCGGTGCTCCTCGATTTCGTAAGGGTTTTGACAGAGTTCTCTGGCCGGCCCTCAGCCTTCTGATAGGCCATATAGGATCGGCTTCGTCTTTCTACACACCGTCAAGACGTTTTATACTGACACGCTGGTCACAGTGCTTGTGAACGGGTGGTCTAGTCGCTAATTCGAGCTTGGGTGCGGGGATCGCCAAGGCGACCCCTCTAGACTGCTCTATTAGTACTCTTTATAAAACCAATGATGAATTACCTCTGCGCGACGACCAATGCCTTGGGCCATCTCGGTCCCGTCGGACCCGGCTCGCCATCATTTACTTGCGTTCTCGGAAGACTGCACGGGATTCCTTGGCGATCTAGGACATGCGTCACGTTTCGTCGACGCCGTCAAATACTATGCTTCCGCGGCTGGCCTTATGCTAAATGTCGCAAAGACAGTCATTTTTCCGTTCCAAGCATGCGACTTGGATTTTCGCGGTTCACTCCACATCCTCGGTTTCTCTGTGGTTCCTGATTTCGGGTCTACTATTCTACTTCGGTTTTAACAAAGCCCCTGCCTTCCATTGTCTCGACGATACGGCTGTATTCTCCCGCTGATGGTGTCACTCTGAATCCTCTGGAAGTATCGCGCGCGTAATCTTCGAGGCAGGGCCGCTATACTCAGAAGATATGTGCTACTTTTACTCTGGTACACGGCTGCGGTGACTCCTATGTCTGTTCCAGTGGCTTTCCAGGTCACCAACTTATGCAAGTCATTTCTGTTTCACAAGAACATCTCTACTGAGGCCTCGGTTCGTGGGCCCTTGGCTGAGGAATGGCTATCATGGCCAACGTCGCGAGGGGGTCTTGGCCTTCCGAATGTCGTTGATTTTGCTCGGACCCTCCAGCTTTGTTCCCTCCGGGACGCGGCCCACTCATCGTCCTCCTCTTCTCGAATCCCTCGGTGGTTATTTCCAGCGGTCTCGCTTCTCTCCACTGCACTTGGTCGGACTGGAGGTGAGTTGATATCCTCTATAGCCCCGTCCCGCGTTCAAGTTTACCCCCCACCCTCTTGGAGGGTTCTCGGCTGTTTCTGGTATACAGTCATGCAGACCTGGGTGTTTCTACGTCATTCGTCTCACCATAAGAAACCTCTTGATTCGTTTCTCTTGAATGTACCACTCTGGCGCAAATATCGGTACCGAGTCGGGAGCTTGCATCAAATTTTTAAAGACTTGTCCATTCTCGTCCGGCATTTTTGCAATCTAGGGTTTGTTCGCCTGCGCTATTTTATTGCTCTTCTTGGTTGACCTCCCGACATCGAGTTATGTCTCTCTATAATGGCTTCTGTGGAATTTGGGAGCCCCCGGTACGTACACTTGCCTGCTTCCACTTCCTATCGAAGCTCCAGGGTTGGCGCCATCACCGCCTCTCTGCGACGCACGGGCCCGCGCTGCCTGATATTCGGGCTAGTGCCGCGCATGTGTGGTCCTTTCAGGGACTCGAATTTGGAAGACTCCCCACCGCCTGGCTTTACCGGACGATCAATACTCTCCATGTTATCGCACGCCTGCCCCATTTGGCGCATGACCTCTCTGTGGACCCAAACTGGTCCGCGCTATGGCGACTGGAACTTTTGTTGAATTGCTGTGTCCTACCGATCTTAAGTGACCGCAAATTACGACTCCAACACAACGCTTTAGGGATCCGTCGTAATCATTCCTACCATACGGCTGATGTTCATTGCTCCCATGGGTGTGGGGCTGTCGATACAACTTTCCATCTCTTTTGGACCTGCTGTATCGCTCGAGCGGTCTGGGGTACGGTCCTTGACCCTCTCCGCCTTTCTTCTACGGTGCGATTACTTGGGGCGATGTTCTCTATCTCCAAGATCTGAAGTCCACTCCCACCGTTTTCCGGGCTTATAGTCATTACAACCTCCTCCAAGCCTTCAATTTGCTTCGCTGTGCTGCCTTCTATCCCCTGTGATTGCAGCAGAACGAGCGCATTTATCAGGAGGTCCCTTCCTCACACCTGGTGCGTCTGAGTAAGGCTACTACTTACGTTAGCCTTCATCTCAAGTGGTTGTGTTCCTCGTATTCTTTTGACCCTACACTAGCTCAACTGTTCCGGATACTGTCCGGGACGGTGTGAGGGTGCATTGCTGGTTTACGACCCTTCGCTCCCGTCACCCTTAATTCATATTAGCTTTGTACCTGCCCCTCTAACTGCTTCATTCGAGCATGCAAGACCTTCGTGGGGGTATATCCTTGGTGTGTGTACCTCGGATTTACGCCCCCGAGTCGGTCCATGCCTCGACTGCTCGCTGTTTTCCACTGTTATTTTTCTATCAGGTTTTCCTATCTGGAGGCTCCGACCCTGTTGAATCAGACTAGCTCTAAACTTTCCGATCGACAGGATGGTTGGAGCAGAGCGTCGCGGCATCCTATTTTTTCTGGCAAGATTTTATTTCAGGGGTTATTCTGGTGGTCTTCCTTCGGCCTACCCTACTCTCCCCTCATCTCTCTGTGCGAGAGCAAATCGTTTCCTCCTTTGCGCCTACTCTTCGCCTGCCTTTGTTGAAGATTGAGATGAAGAGTCACGATGTGCGGCACGACATGTCAGATCAAGTTGATGTCGGCGATTGTTTTGCATGTGTATAAGAGGACAGTCGACAGATGAAAGGGTTGCAAAGATGGGTGAAGAAGCTTGCAGTTGCCAACAGACAGGAAGCGCGTCGTCGTAGTGGTGGCGAATGGTAGCGCAGAGACAAGTAAGTCGACCTAGTAAGAGCGGCAGATACAGAGACATAGTGTGCGAGATAGCGAGCAGAATAGCTAGGACATAACGGCACAGTTTGAATGTCAGTTTCCTTTCTACCTCATCAAGTGCAAGCTCAACATTGGCTAACAGGTTATGAGCCCAAACTTAATGGCTTCTTCGATTGATGAAATGACGACTTCGGCACCTGCAGACCACGGCCACGAAATGGCCGCCGTTGTTAGCGATACCTAAAACCACGAAAGGGGTGCGGGGACCGACGAAAGGATCCTCACAATGCTAACTGCACTCACGGATCGCATGCAAGCGCTTGAGGCGTCTCAGATGCAGATCGACGAGGACGAGCGACTTCGAGGCGCGATCGACAGTGGCTTTTTTGCGTCAGCGCTGGGACGCCGCATGGGCGGTACGATTCTACATCGTGACGCGCTAGGATATGATGCTCCGAGGCAGCCGCGTAGACGTGTTCGCGTGACTCAACCAGGTGACTCGCTATTCCAGCAGTTCGGTCCACAGCATGTCGGTCCGCGACAGCCAGCGGGCGCTGCTCGACCACAGGCGTCGCGCTATGCGCCAGTGTCGCCTCCAGATTTTATAGACGCTCATTCGCCTGTGCCACCACCGCAGCAGGCACCGACGCAGGAGTTGCCGTTGCGTGTCCCGGACGCACGCCAACGTAAGCTTGCTATTCGCAAGTTTGATGGTACAGAACTGTACCAGGGTCTCGGATCGGGTTTTGCTGACTGGGGTCGCACGTTCTTGCGCCGAGTCACTATGGCGCAGCAGGCCTGCGGATTTGCATGGGCTGAAGATGTCAAGGTCGACTTACTAAGACACTACCTAAGTGGTACAGCAGAGCGGGACTACAAAAAACAAGTGGACGCTTGGTGGCTCGAAGAAGCCTCTCTCGATCACGCTATGGGCCGGTTGCTACACACATTCAAGACTACAATCACGTCGTCTCAAATCTCTGCGTCGATCAGCAGGCGATCGTCGTTCACCAGGTGTCGAATGGCACTTCACTGTCGAGTATCCAGTCGTCATGTTCACATTGTCGCCGTCGCTCACCTACAGTAAAGACCACCTCGCCGTCGTTCTTGGCGCTATTGTTGACGTTCCCTTGACCTTTTGTCAATCTGTAATGACCTTATTTGGCACAGTTGTAGCATGAACGTGTCTCCTAGCGACGTCTTTCATCAGTGACCGCGGCGACTAACTCGCGTCCCAACGTCCTTTCCGGTCTTGTTCCCGAGCTCAACAGACTGTGCAAAATGCGCAATCTCTTTCAGATTGAAGCAAATGATCGTGTCGGTTTTTGTTGTACTTGGCCGCCAAAACTGTTGTAAGATCAGCGACGCATAGTGAACAATTTTGTCGAGAACTTGTGCTTCTGCACCTCCACCGCAGGCATCGCATACAGCAACCATATACAGGTAGTGTTCATGCCATGATCTCTTGGACTCCTTCCTCGCAGTGAAAAGCTTCATGATTTGAGACGACGTGATTGTAGTCTTGAATGTGTGTAGCAACCGGCCCATAGCGTGATCGAGAGAGGCTTCTTCGAGCCACCAAGCGTCCACTTGTTTTTTGTAGTCCCGCTCTGCTGTACCACTTAGGTACTTTCTTAGTAAGTCGACCTTGACATCTTCAGCCCATGCAAATCCGCAGGCCTGCTGCGCCATAGTGACTCGGCGCAAGAACGTGCGACCCCAGTCAGCAAAACCCGATCCGAGACCCTGGTACAGTTCTGTACCATCAAACTTGCGAAGAGGGCTCGCTGGCGTGCGTACGGGACACGCAACGGCAACTCCTGCGTCGGTGCCTGCTGCGGTGGTGGCACAGGCGAATGAGCGTCTATAAAATCTGGAGGCGACACTCGGCGCATAGCGCGACGCCTGTGGTCGAGCAGCGCCCGCTGGCCGTCGCGGACCGACATGCTGTGGACCGAACTGCTGGAATAGCGAGTCACCTGGTTGAGTCACGCGAACACGTCTACGCGGCTGCCTTCGAGCATCATATCCTAGCGCGTCACGATGTAGAATCGTACCGCCCATGCGGCGTCCAAGCGCTGACGCAAAAAGCCACTGTCGATCGCGCCTCGAAGTCGCTCGTCCTCGTCGATCTGCATCTGAGACGCCTCAAGCGCTTGCATGCGATCCGTGGAGTGATTGTAGCATTGTGAGGATCCTTTCGTCGGTCCCCGCACCCCTTTCGTGGTTTTAGGTATCGTTAATGGTCTGGCGGCATTTTCGTGTCTGTGGTCTGCAGGTGCTGAAGTCAAGCCGTCATTTCATCAATCGAAGAAGCCATTAAGTTTGGCTTCAAACTTTGTTAGCCAATGTTGAGCTTGCACTTGATGAGGTAGAAGTGAAACTGACATTCAAACTGTGCCGCATGTCTCATTTATTCTGCTCGCTATCTCGCACACTATGTCTCTGTATCTGCCGCTCTTACTAGGTCGACTTACTTGCTCCCTGCGCTACCATTCGCCACCACTACGACGACGCGCTTCCTGTCTGTTGGCAACTGCAAGCTTTCTCACCCATTCTTTGCAACCCTTTCATCTGTCGACTGTCCTCTTATACACATGCAATTCAATCGCCGACATCAACTTGATCTGACATGTCGTGCCGCACATCGTGACTCTTCATCTCAATCTTCAACAAAGGCAGGCGAAGAGTAGGCGCAAAGGAGGAAACGATTTGCTCTCGCACAGAGAGATGAGGGAGAGCAGGGTGGGCCGAAGGAAGACCACCAGAATAACCCCTGAAATAAAATCTTGCCAGAAAAATAGGATGTCATGACGTCGGCCCAACCATCCTGGCCGATCGTTTTGTTTAGGGCCATCGGATTCAACAGGGTCGGAGCCTCCAGATAGGAAAACCTGATAGAAAAATAACAATAAAAAATACCGAGCAGTCGAGGCATGGACCGACTCGGGGGCGTAAATCCGAGGTACACACACCCGCGGGGATATACCCCCACGAAGGTCTTGCATGCTCGAATGAAGCAGTTAGAGGGGCAGGTACAAAGCTAATATGAATTAAGGGTGACGGGAGCGAAGGGTCGTAAACCAGCAATGCACCCTCACACCGTCCCGGACAGTATCCGGAACAGTTG